CGCCTTGCTCCTCGGACCAAGGTCAAAGTCCAACTCCGCACCAATGCCACGAAACCACTGAGCCTCGCGAGTTTGCTGAAAAAGATTCGACATCACGATCGGCAGGCAAGGCGAATATCCACCTTGTCATCTCCACCTCCACGTCATCGAGGTCGCCCTCGAGCGCGCGCTCGATCCTGAGGCATCGCGACGCCTTGAACCCGGGGGGGCAACGCGGACGCCTTCTGCCCGACGGCCAGGAGGCTGATCGCCGCCCTAGACGCTGCGTCTGCGAGCTCCTTCTTCTTGACACTCCCGGCGACTTTCGTCACCATCGCGCCCCTCTTGGTCTTCGCCCCCGCGGCTCCACCGACGCGGAACAGCAGGCCCCGAACAGCGCCTCGGGCTTCTTGCCGCGCTGGCTGTCTTTGAACTCCACGTCTCGCTCTGTCCCTTTTTTGCGAGCGCCCGCGCCCACGCTGTCGCGCGCCTCGCTCGCCCACTCCACGATCTTCATCGAGTCGTTCTCCGCGGGCGCATCCAGCGCGAAATTATGCGACCTGCTCTGAATCTCCCTCTCGCCGTCCAGCTCCAGAGCGAATGCCGCCATCGCCTCCATCAGCTGTAACTCCTGACCCCTTTTGCCGCCAGCCGCGCCCTCCTGCGTTGCCTCCTCGGGCCCGCATCGCCCTCTGCCTCGGCCTTGCCCTTCTCGGCTTCTTCAGCGGTCTCGGTCCTTCTCGGATGGCCCCCCGATTCCACCGCCAGCCGCGTCAGCTTGCCAGGCGCGCCGAACAGGTTGGCCATCACTGCGTTCGCGAGGTCCGAGGGCGGATGCACCGCCACACTGCGCCACAGAAACACAGGGCCCGGCGCGAGCGGGCGCCGAATCACCGCACGAGGGAAGAGGGCAACAGATGAATCGAATGCACTTGACCAAGGAATCCCGTCGACTGAAGGGGGCCTGACAACGCGGGCACGCAAATGCACTGCGGGGGGCAGGTCGAAACCTGGCGGGCGCTGGCAAGATGCATTTGAGCCCTCGGGGGCCGCTGCGCGCATAACCGCGGCGGGGGCGACAAAATTTTCATGGCGTCAGCGTCCTCAACCGGGGCAGCTTCGAACGCGAGCAGAGTTTCGAACGTGGGGCGAGGCTCGCGAGCAAGCTATTCAAGCCATGGCTTTCTCAGCATTTCAAGGCTAGAGCACGAGCGTTCGCGGCATCATTGGCACCGTCGAAGACGAGCCGAAGGCGTCGCGACACCCGGCGCTGCCGCGGGGTGGAATCGCCGCGGCCAAATTCGAAATCGATCGAAACTTCCGACAACCGCAGCACGAACAGCAATGGTGGGGTCGTTGACGTGGGCCCTAAAAAGGGCCGCCATTGAGATCGAGAAATACTGGGGCGACCACTGCCTGCGCCCACAAACAGCGTCGCGTTGAAAAGGTAGGCCCCACACGATGAACACCACAACGGTCGCGTATATCATCAGAGACACCCGGAAAATACGAACAGGCAATCTAGCAAGACACCGAAGATTACGAATCTGAACAAAATCTAGCTTTCCATGACAATGCGTCCAACGTCTTCGGCATCCAACAACGCACCTGGCAACCCAGAATCTGGCCGCCAATCTGATCGGAAGGACCTGGGAGCGCCACGGGCGAACGTCAAGTCCACGATGGGCCCCTCTATCGCACGCGCTTGGCACAGGCCTCCACTTCCACCAGGTCGCGCCAACGAATGAATATCATCGCCCCATTATACGTTGCAGCAAGGGTGACTTTAATGGGGACCTCCGAGAAATTCAAGGAGTACTTGCCCTGGCGGATCTGCTCGCCCACGGCCCTAGACCCAGCCCCAAAGGCCCCCGTGGCAACCTTTAGCCTGGAGATGTTAAGACCGAACCTCGACTAACCTCGACCCCGATAAGGTCGCGGCAATGGAGTTGGGGAAGGGGGCGATGGCGCCAGCGTCTGCGAAGATCTCCATCACGCTAAGGTCGCCCATGAAGACTGGATCCCTAAGAATATTATATTCTTGAAACCTGGCCACTGAGCCCAAAAGAACCTCGCGCACGGTGTTGAACTTCGCAACAAGGGAACGGTCGCCTCGCTCGCGCTAGATCCGGCTGAAAATCAAATCACACAGCGAAATGAAGCACGGCGGGCCCACGAAAGAGCCCTGGCGGACCCCTGGTTTGCTCCGCGGCCGCCGCGCATCCCTTCCCGACTTTGCATCGCGGATGAAAAGGAAGGCGCCGTCGCGCTTGCCCTCGAGGAGAAGCACAAGCTCCCCGCGAAGAAAAAGCGCAAGCTTTGCCTCCCAGACCACACAGCGACCGATATCATCAAAGGCTGTGGATCTATCGGGAAGGCCTTAAATTTCGGGCAGAAGCTGCTTGTCACAAGCAGCTTCTGGTCATGCTGCTTTCTTTTGTCCCTCTTGGCCGCAACGGCTGCACCTCTCTCAATCACGTCCTCCACTATGGCACCAGCATCTCGCGTGCCACGATTGGGAAGTCCACTGGGCTGAACTCGACTGGCACGTCGGGCGACCTCCTCCTTCGAATATCCAAGAAACTCACGGATCATGTGCTGGCCCTAAAGGCTAAGCATGCTGAGCGCGCGGCAATGTTCGCCAGCATCAGATCCATCACCTTTGCCAGGCCTGCGAAGGCACACCGCCTCGCCATCTTAAAAGGCCAAGGTGTTATGCACGACCCCACCTTGCCGCTGCTAGCAAAAGCCAGCGCAGGGGGCACGCCCGATCGAAAAATCTTGAACATCTCGGCGACACCACCTCGATGTTCCTGCGCCCGAGCCAGCGGTGACATGGCGACGCCGGCCTTGAAGCTCGTCATCGTCATCAGCATGTCCTCTGCCATACGCTGCGCACTCGCAGCGGTCGAATGGGCGCGGGGGGGCCCTCCTTGCCGCAACGCAGGTTCTGGGACAGGCAGGTTCACCGCATCGAAAACCTTCTGCATCGCGATGGGCTTGGCCTCGATCTCGTCTCTGGGTCTTAAGCAGCACTGACCACGCAGTTTCAGCGTGGCTGCCGACGCCGACGTCTTCGGAGCTAGCGTCTGAAAAATCTCGAATGCACCTAAGGAATCACCCCAGCCAAATGAGCGCCCCACGTCTGCGGCCGACGATTCAACATTTCACTTGTTGCCCCCCCGAACGGCGGCCTTAGCACGTTTTGTCGCCATCCTCGTCTGGTGATGAACTTATAGGCGCGGCGCAGGAAAATGCGTCTGCGAGCTCGCCACCCGCCATAAAACGCATCCGCCGATGCCTTTCCTCGACCAACTTCAAAATAGATTCGCTGAATGCGCTGGGTCGGCGAACTTGGCGAGCTCTGGGTTGCTGCGCGAAGCCCACTTCCATCGCACTCATGACTAGAATATCTTCAATGCCGCCATACTGCTCGCGAGCCTGGCCATCCTCAGGGGGGCGTGTGGTTTTCCCAGCAACAAGGGCACGCAGACTTGTGATATCCTGGGCAAGCTCGGAAGTCTGGAATTACCCTTGGGTCTCGGCGTCGCCCATCCGACGACATAGCTGGACAGCCTCGCCAAGTAAAACGCGATTACATCGAGGATATGCTTTCTTCGCCTTCGAAGGTTGCCACGGTCTCGAATGACAAAGCCCACCCACAGGTCGATGACCTCGATGGCCTCCGAGACCCACAGGTGATGAATCATCAAGCGCGGCATTCATCCCAGGCTGCGATAAATTTGGCACATAAGGAAGCTGGCACGACACCGATAACCCTCCGGGTGCAATCAAGTCCCGTGAAAATGTCAGTGAGAGCCGACAGTAATCATTGCCTTGAAGTAAAGGTCCATCAGATGATTGTGAGCTCATAGTTATTGACGTTCAGCGGCGGCTTCGATCTACGCAGCCCCCCAAAGCTCGTCTGCAGGTCAAAGTTCTTGTCGATTCCGACTATTAAAGAAGAGCGAGCGTGCTTGTTGAGGCTTGACATGGCAGTTCCCAGACTGCAGCAACACGGTTGCTGGCCAAATCGAAGTCCAGTCTGGGACGGCTGCGCTGAGGAGGGAGCATTGCCAGTCATCAAATGCAGATCTCATTCATACCGGTCGCGCCCGCAACGCAGTCTGATCCCACCAAGCTCACCTTGCACCCAGGAACGTTCGCACACTAGGGGGGTCGAACCAATCGTGCCAGCATCAGCACAAATCACCAATCCATCTCGCGAATGTGGAGAAGATCTCGGGAACGGCACCACCCGATGGTCGTGGGAGATCCACCCCACACCAATATCCATAGACGCGCCTTGAAGCAACAGAACATGTACGTCCGTAGCACGAGCTAACCGTAAAAGCTCATCGGCTATCCCGACCACCCGCAGACTCTCGCAACTGTTTGAGCGGATCCGTACCTGGTGTACGCAGTCCTGCACGTGTTGGTGTCGCCCACGCGTCGACAGCTGCATGTTGTCTGTCAGAGGCAAGCCCAGCAAGGCGGAGGTCCTGGACTTCGCGCCGGGGGCCACATGCATGCCCTGGAGGGTCGCATAGGCAGCAAGTTGAGCCGTCTGCTGTAGATCACACTGCCGACCACGGTACCGACAGTGACCTGTCAAAAACAGACATCTGATGGCTCGCCTCGTTGCCCAATTTCGTGACATGCATGCCCGTGTTCTCCAGCATTGAAACCTCGCCCCTTCGGTGCTGGATGCGCGACCTTCGGGCACGCGCCGCAGCCTCGGCTCCCACCAATCACTGAGACAGCAGAATCACAGCATTGTGTCCCGACTTGGGACTGGCATCCTGAATATAGATTGTTCTTTTGCTCCAGGAGGGCCGACCTGTTCGGACCAACTTGAACCACAGCGGCTTCGGTCGGCCCCCCCAGGTGGGGTGCCCCGAGGTGGAGCCCTCTCACTCGCTCTATCTCTCTCTCTCTCTCTCTTTCTTTGTTTTTTTCTTGTTCTCTTTCTCTCTTGTTCTCTCTCTCTCTCTCTCTCTCTCTACATATGTATATATACACTGTTATGAAGCAAAGGTTGTGCGAAACGTCTCAAAAACGGAGAATCCAAAAAGGCCCTTCTGGCCAAAAACGGGGGCTAATATGCTTTTACTAGTCAGGCGACGGCGTTCAGTGAAGCCACGCCTCGGCAGCCTCAGGGGACGGCGAGACCGTCGAGCCGAATCCAACCGCAGCGACCGCGTGAAAAACAACGGCCACCCCGCGTCCACTTTAAGAGCCACGCCTGGCCGGCAACGAGGACAAAGAGTCGGCCCCGGGACCTGGCCAGAAGCGTTACGACGATTCTGGCTGCTTAAACAAAGCTCAAGACGCGTGAAGCTAAGCAGCACAATGCATGCTAAGAGAGTAAGGCCTCACTCAACATTCAGGCGCAATCAAACCTCAGGCGGACGACGACACCTCACGCAAGATAGTCACCAGCAGCGCACGATTTCTACTTTTCCCCGTTGATGCTCACAGCATTTGGGAAGAACGAGGACCTGGTCGTCACTGCCCAGGACCTCCATCACAGTCAGCACCTTACTGTCGCGGTCAATCGACATGCTCTGCATACCACCAGCTGATATGGTGGCAACCCGAATCCCGTTCTCAGCGGTTTGCAGCCGCAGTGCCAAACGTATGGCAATGCACTCAACATGCTTCCAGGTGGAAACCGCATGCACTTTGATCATGATGACGTCGCCGTGGTACGCGTCGTTACTGTCGACCTCGGGGAAAAAGGGTAGCGTGGCGAACCCTTGCTCGCCATAGCACGTCAGCCAGGCCTGCGCACACATAACTTGCTCAGGCTCCTCCTCATCCTCATGCTGCTCGGCCTCATCCTGGCCAGGCTCCTCCTGCTCCTGCTCGATCTTCACCTCGTCCAGCGAAGGGAACAGCGGGAGCTCCAGCAGTGGCCCAGGATTGCTGGCGAGGTCGCCAGAGCCGGTTCGCGGGCGCATCGGCGCCGCTAAGCCAGGCTGTCCGCCGCCGCAGGCGTACCCACTGGTGGCAGCGTGGCCCCCAAGGCCGGCGGAGTCTGCGCCAGCGTCGCCGCCGCGCTCTGCACCAGAGTCCGCTGGCCTGGAGTCTGTGACGGGGGCGGCCAGTGTTGCACTGACTGCTGCCATTGTCGCTGTGCCCTCAGTTGCTGTTTCGGTAGGCGCAGCCGTTGGCAGCCCAGATGCGGGCGCAATGGGGTACCCAGTGCATCGCCAGGGCGCGCTCCCGATGCAGTAGGCCCGCTGGGGCCTGCTGTGCAAGTTGGCAATGGGCCAAGGTAGACCCCCATAGCGTCGGGAACCCACACAGCGCGCCAGGCTCCTGAGGGAGACGGAGGCGCAGTGTGCGCAGAGCCGAGCCCAGCGGGTCCCGCCTGCTGCCGATGCGCCAGAAGCCGGCAGCCGGCGACGTCCCAGGCTCAGCGCACATGCACCGGCGGCATGAGGCGCCGCGGGAAGGGCAGGGGGATGCACGGCCCAATGTGAGAGCCGTGCGCAGGCGCCTGCCCCGGACTCCCCAGCCCGGAGCTTGAGCCAACCCTTGAGCCAAAATGGATACGGATCTCTCTCGCACTCCTTATATGTGTATATACATACATACATATATATATATATATACATCTATAAATATATACACATATTTGCCACCGTGCCTCTGGCACGAAATGGAGTCCCCCACGAAATGGGGTACCCCAAGGCTCATACAGCACTGAGAGGTAGAGGCTGTTCTGCTGATGCTGCGGCTGCTGCAGCCAGATTTGTAAGTCTTTAAAGACCCGCACCAGCCGCTTCCCAGGCCGTCCTAGGCCGTCCTGGGGCATTCCGGAGTTTCCCGGACTGCCTCCCATGAGTTCTGGGGTGTTTCCTGTAAGTCCTCTGGACGCTATGCACGCCCACAACGGTTCAAGAGAGTCCTGACTCGCCGAAACATAACTCAAAGACGTTGTTTATAGCCTCGAGACGGCCCCAGACACCTCCAAAACAGCCCCAGAGGCCTCCAACAGCACCCCCCCGAGGACCGCAAAAGGCAAACATCATTGATGTTCATAACGTGTTCTGACATGTTCGGCGTTTCTGACTGTTCGATCTCCCGACTCTCCAAGACAGCCCAAGAGGCTCCCAAAACCACCCCAAGACGGCCCAGGAGGTCCCCAAGAGCGCACCAAGACGGCCCAAGAAGGCCCCAAGAGGCGCCCAAGAGGCGCCCAAGACGGCCCAAGAGGGCGCTAAGACGGCCCAAAAAAAGGCCCAAGAGGGGGAATCCAAACCGAAAAGTCGAACCTTCCACCCCAAAAGGTGCCCAGGCGGCCCCAAGAGGCGCCCAAGAGGTCCCCAGAGGCTCCCACGAGTCTCCACTAAGCCCCAATAGCCCCCCAAGAGGCCCAGAAGACACCACAATACAGTCCCCAAACAAAACAGCCTCCAGGCCCCCGAGAGGCCTCGACGAGATACCAACGACCATCGAAGAGACCTCAGACCCATGACCCAGCTACAGTAGCGGGATGGGCCGAAGACCACTAGATATAGAAATATGTGTATGTGTGGATACGTCCATATATATATATGTATGTATGTATGTATACATACACACTTCTCTATATAGGTGTCTCCACGCACGCACGTGCAACGCATAAGCACTTCCAGCATCACCCTGTGTGCTTGACTGATTCCCCATCTTTCATCTCCTCTTCCTCCGTCCATCCCCTTCCCAAACCCTCTCAAGGCAATCCTCCATACCTCTCATCGCTAGCCTGATATTAGTTGTTCCTCCCCCCCCATGATGATTATACACATCCGCCTGCACCATTGCGAGGCCACAAGGCTGCGCGGGGCAGCCATGTTAGTAAGATGCATGCGTGTTTGAATGATGTCTGCAATTCCAGCACCATTGGTTTTGAATGTTCCCTGACAGCCTGCTGTTGTAGTACTTGGCATCATTCCTCCAGTATGGCAAGCGGCATGATATGCCTGATCGCGCGACCTCCTGCGGGCCTGGAACATGACCTCCTAGGCCGTTTCCTATGAGCTACTAGCTGCCCCTCCTATACAGCTCTGAACGTTTGCCTGTCGTGTCGCCCCGGTGGCCCCGGCGACGCGCTCTGCCCTGCGAGCGGATAGCGCGTCTCTGCGCTCAGCGGGGCGGGAGGCTCGAAGACGCTCGGGACGTGTACGCTGGGGGGTCTGGGAAGTGAATAGCGTGCCGGGCCGAAGCGTGGTAGGCCAAAGCCGGCGGCGCGACACGCTGCCCACAAGTTCCCGACCGTACTCTCGTACCCTCCGCGCTCCCGCATCGCCCCTCCTCGCTCCCCCCCGGAGCGGCGCGGTCGTCGTAGCTCCAGCTCCAGACCTTGCTGCCCGGAGGAGTGTCCTTGGCAAGCAACTTCTGCAGCTGGTTCTGCACCTGGAGAGATCGGTGGCTCCACGTCGTCGTCGTCGTTGTCGCCGTCGTCCTCGTCGTCGTCCTCGTCGTCGTCGTCGTCGCCGTCCACCTTCAGAGTCGGCGGCACCGGCCGTAAGGCCTTCACAGTCGATGGCTCCACGGGCAGGTCTGCGTTGCGAGGGTGGCGAAAATTGTGCTTGCTGACACGCCGTCGGGCACCACTGCAGTTGTTGTCGACTCCACCATTTCTCAATGTTGTGTAAATACACGTGAGCCCACACATGCATGCATGCGTGTGTGCCCGCACGCGTGTATGCATGCCTACCCACATACGGTCGCACCTGCACACTGTCGCGGACAAACAAATATACACGTATATACACTTGGCCGAAGCGGCCTCGCGCAAGGCGACAATGCGGAATCAATCGATCGATGCATACATACATGCATGCATGCATGCATACATACATACATACATGCATGCACAATTACAAACATATATGCATACATACACGCATACATACTCATACACATACATGCATGCATGCATATCCACGTACAAACGTACATACGTACATACATGCATACACGCACATAGCATTCGCAAACAAACATGCTGATACCGCCGTTTTACTCTGGAAAATTCCCCCTCGCTTCCTCTGGAACCCGGGGTTCCCCCCCCCTCCGAAAATCCCCTCCCACCCTGCCCCCCCCGGCCAAACCCCCCCTCCCCTAACCCCCCCCCCTCCGGAAAACCGGGGGGGGCCACTACCGGTTCGAACCCCCCCCCCCTCCGGAAAACCAGGGGAGGCCACTATAGTGGCCTCCCCTGGTATACCTGTTCGAACAGGTATACCTGTTCGAAACCCCCCGGCCTCCCCCCTCTCCTCCGGAAAACCGGGGGGGTCACTACCAGTTCGCACCCCCCCCCCCCTCCTCTCCGGAAAACGGGGGGGTCACTACCGGTTCGAACCCCCCCCCCCTCGAAAACCGGGGGGGTCACAACCAGTTCGAACCCCCCCCTCTCGAAAACCGGGGGGGTCACTACCGGTTCGAACCCCTCCCACCCCCCCCCACGCTCACCGCCAGCAAACGACTCCCGGTCCCTACCACCGTCCGCACCACATCCCCCCCTGCTGTCCCCAGCACCACTGTCCTCACCACCACTGTCCCCACTGGTTCCACCACCGTCCCTACTGTCCCCACCAGTGCCCCCACCACTGTCGCACTGTCCCCACTGTCCCCACCACTGTTCCCACCACGGTTCCACTCTCCCCCACTTACTCCACGGCCCCAACCACTGCCCGACTGTCCCCACTGTCCCCACTGTCCCACTGTCTCCTCCGCTGTCCCACTGAGCTGTCCCACTGTTCCCACCACTGTCTCCACTGTCCCCACCACTGTCCCCACTGTACCTCTGTCCCATTGTCCCACCGCCGTCCTCGCCACCGCCCTCTTCACTGTCCCCGCCACCACTGTACCCACCACTGTCCCACTGTTTCCACCACATTCCCACTGTCCCCACACCACTGTCCCCACCACCACCGTCCCCACTACTGCCCCACTGTCCCCACTGTTCCCACCATTGACAATCACCGTCCCCACCACTGTCCCACTGTCCCCACTGTTCCCACCATTGTCCCCGCTGTCCCTACCAGTGCCCCCATGCAGCAGTGTGTCAATGTCCCCACTCTCCCCGGCCCGGCGGCGAAGAGGGGGGGTTCGAACCGGTACTATGGTGACCCCCCCGGATTTCGAGGGGGGGGGAGGGTTCGAACCGGTAGTGACCCCCCCCCGGTTTTCCAGAGGGGAGGGGGTGGTGTCGAACCGGTAATGACCCCCCCCCCCTTTTCATGATGGACGGGGGGGGGAGGGGTTCGAACCGGTAGTGACCCCCCCCGGTTCTCCAGAGGGGGGGGGCCTCGAACCGGTAGTGACCCCCACCCCGGTTTTCCGCCAGCAGCGGTAGAACACGCTCTTGCTGATGTCAGGAACATCGCATCCGACTCGCGCGTGCTCAAGCTATATGTGTCTTGGGTGTCAGTGTGCGCAGCGGAAGAAACGCTGCCATATTACCAGAAGCGTCGAATTTCGGAGCGGACGAAACACCGCCGTGTTACCAGAAGCGGTAAATGTTGGAGCTGCCTTGGCCATGATAGTAGAGCGCGCTGCTTCCATGGGGAAGGGACGATGGAGGGAAGAGCAGACGTCCTAAGCTGTTCCTGCCAGGACGCGCGGTGCCAGGGCCGGGATGGAAGCGTTTTCCACCTGACCCTGGAATTTCATTTGAGGCCTCACTGAGGGGAAGGTCAGACCTTGAGGCGTGGAGGCCTCAGAGGTCTCCATGGAACAGGGGCTTCTCCTTCACGGCGACCTCCCTCCTCAATCTTTCCCACGCCCTCTCCCCCCCTTCTGGGGTCTCGCGGGCGAGGGGGAGAGACAAGAGAGAAGGGAAGAGGGAGAGAAGGGGAGAGGGGGAGAGGGAAGCTGGCGAGGATGAGGGACGACTTGGTCGAAGTGAGCGGAGACCCCGCACCTGGAAATCGGTTCGCTTTCGTGCTCGTGCCGCGCGTGCGGGCGAGACGGAGCCCGCGTGCGCGGGCGGGAGGAGCGATCCCGCCGCCGACAGGGCCAAGGCAGGACACACGGCTCTCCTCCAACGGTTCGGCGGACTTGGGCGCGCGGTCGCCCCGTGGTGGTCCCATGGCTGTCCCGATGGTTGGCCAAAGGCTGCCTCGATGACTGTCCCAACAGTGATTGTCCCCACAGGTTGTCCCGACGGTTGGCCCGATGGTTGTCCCATGGCTGTCCCGATGGTTGTTCCGACAGTTGGCCCGATGACTGTCTCGATGGTTGTCACGACGGTTGTTCCGCTGGTTCTCCCGACGGTTGTCCCAATGGTTATCCCGATGGCTGTCCCGATGGTGGTCCCGATGGTGGTCCCGATGGTTTTCCCGATGGTTGTCCCGATGATAACCCTGATGGGTTCTAGCCCCAAAAAGCGCTCGGCACCTTCGACGCCTCGACCGGTTGGCTAAAAACAACAACCAAGAGACGGTATGGTTGTCCCGATGATTGTCCCGATGGTGGTCCCACTGGTTGGCCCGATGGTTGTCCCAACAGATATTGTCTCCACAAGTTGTCCCGACGGTTGGCCCGATGGTTGGCCAAATAGTTGTCCCGATGGTTGTCCCGATGGTTGGCCCGATGACTGTCTCGATGGTTGTCACGACGGCTGTTCCGCTGGTTCTCCCGACGGTTGTCCCGATGGTTATCCCGATGGCTGTCCCGATGGTGGTCCTGATGGGTATCCCGATGGTTGTCCCAGTGGTTGTCCCGAAAATTGTCCTGATGGGTTCCAGCCCAAAAAAGCGCCCGGCACCTTCGACGCCTCGATAGGTTGGCTGAAGAAACAAACAAGAAACGGTATGGTTGTCCCGACGGTTGCCCCAATGGTTGTCCCACTGGTTGGCCCGATGGTTGTCCCAACAGATATTGTCCCCACAGGATGTCCCGACGGTTGGCCCGATGGTTGGCCCGATGGTTGTCCCGATGGCTGGCCCGATGACTGTCTCGATAGTTGTCACGACGGTTGTTCCGCTGGTTCTCCCGACGGGTGTCCCGATGGTTATCCCGATGGCTGTCCCGATGGTGGTCCCGATGGTGGTCCCGATGGTTATCCCGATGGTTGTTCCAGTGGTTCTCCCGATAAACATCCTGATCGGTTCCAGCCCCCCAAAAAAGCTCGACACCTTCGACGCCTCGATAAATTGGCTAAAGACACAACCAAGAAACGGTATGGTTGTCCCGATGGTTGTCCCGATGGTTGTTCCGACAGTTGGCCCGATGACTGTCTCGATGGTTGTCACGACGGTTGTTCCGCTGGTTCTCCCGACGGTTGTCCCGGTGGTTATCCCGATGGCTGTCCCGATGGTGGTACCGATGGTTATCCCGATGGTTGTCCCAGTGGTTGTCAAGGTAAGTATCCTGATGGGTTCCAGCCCTAAAAAGCGCTCGGCACCTTCGACGCCTCGATAGGTTGGTTAAAACAACAACCAAGAAACGGTATGGTTGCCCCGATGGTTGTCCCGATGGTTGTCCCACTGGTTGGCCCGATGGTTGTCCCGACAGTGATTGTCTCCACAAGTTGTCCCGACGGTTGGCCCGATGGTTGGCCCGTTGTCCCGATGGTTGTCCCGATGGTTGGCCCGATGACTGTATCGATGGTTGTCACGACAGTTGTTCCGCTGGTTCTCCCGACGGTTGTCCCGGTGGTTATCCCGATGGCTGTCCCGATGGTGGTCCCGATGGTTGTCCCGATGGTTGTCCCAATGGTTGTCCCACTGGTTGGCCCGATGGTTGTCCCGACAGTTACTGTCCCGACGGTTGGCACGATGGTTGGCCCGATGGTTGGCCCGATGGTTGTCCCGATGGTTGTCCCGATGGCCCGATGACTGTCTCGATTGTCTCACGGTTGTTCCGCTGGTTCTCCCGACGGTTGGCCCGATGGTTATCCCGATGGCTGTCCCGACGGTGGTCCCGATGGTTATCCCGATGGTTGTCCCAGTAGCTGTCCCGAAAATTTCCTGATGGATTCCAGCCCCAAAAAGCGTTCGGCACCTTCGACGCATCGATAGGTTGGCTAAAGCAACAACCAAGAAACGGTATGGTTGTCCCGATGGTTGTCCCGATGGTTGGCCCGCTGGTTGACCCAATGGTTGTCCCCACAGGTTGTCCCGACGGTTGGCCCGATGGTTGTCCCACTGGTTGGCCCGATGGTTGGCCCGATGGTTGTCCCAATGGTTGGTCCGATGACTGCCTCGATGGTTGTCACGACGGTTGTTCCGCTGGTTCTCCCGACGGTTGTCCCGATGGTTATCCCGATGGCTGTCCCGATGGTGGTCCCGATGGTTATCCCGATGGTTGTCCCAGTGGCTGTCCCGCTAATTATCCTGATGGGTTCCAGCCCAAAAAAGCGTTCGGCACCTTCAACGTCCCGATAGGTTGGCTGAAACAACAACCAAAAAACGGTATGGTTGTCCCGGTGGTTGTCCCGATGGTTGTCCCGACGGTTGTCCCGACGGTTGTCCCGATGGTGGTCCCGATGGTTATCCCGATGGTTGTCCCGATGACTGTCCCAATAATTATCCCAGTGCGACCCTACCTAGGAGTTGGAGCCCCTAGGAAAGCAGCATTAGTAGTAACAGAAAAAGCTAAGCTAAAGCTAAACTAAAGCTAAGCTACAGCTAAGCTACAGCTGAGCTAAAGCTAAGCTAAAGCTAAGCTAAAGCTAAACTAAAGCTAAGCTAAAGCTAAGCTAAAGCTAAGCTAAAGCTAAGCTAAAGCTAAGCTAAAGCTAAGCTAAAGCTAGGCTAAAGCTAAGCTAAAGCTAAGCTAAAGCTGAGCTACAGCTGAGCTACAGCTAAGCTAACGCTAAGCTAAAGCTAAACTAAAGCTAAAGCTAAAGCTAAAACTAAGCTGAAGCTAAGCTAAAGCTAAGCTAAAGCTAAGCTAAAGCTAGGCTAAAGCTAAACTAAAGCTAAGCTAAAGCTGAGCTACAGCTGAGCTACAGCTAAGCTAACGTTAAGCTAAAGCTAAACTAAAGCTAAAGCTAAAGCTAAAACTAAGCTGAAGCTAAGCTAAAGCTAAAGCTAAAGCTAAGCTAACGCTAAACTAACGCTAAGATGAAGCTAAGCTAAATATAAGCCAGCGCTGAACTAAAGCTAAGCTAAAGCTAGCTAAAGCTAAGCTAAAGCTAAGCTAAAGCTAAGCTAAAACTAAGCTAAAGCTAAGCTAAAGCTAAGCTAAAGCTAAGCTGTAGCTAAGCTAAATCTAAGCTAAAGCTAAGCTAAAGCTAAGCTAAAGCTAAGCTAAAGCTAAGCTAAAGCTAAAGCTAAGCCAGCGCTAAACTAAAGCTAAGCTAAAGCTAAGCTAAAGCTAAGCTAAAGCTAAGCTAAAGCTAAGCTAAAGCTAAGCTAAAGCTAAAGCTAAAGCTGAAGCTAAAGCTAAAGCTCCCAGGGGACTGGGGGAACCGCGGGGCGGGGACTGGGGGAACCGCCCGGGGCGTGTTGCACTGCCCGGCCCCTTTAAGCTAACAGAGTAAGAACCCTTCTAGGCAGAGCCTAGGTAGGGAATTATCCTGACGGGTTCCAGCCCAAAAAAGCGCTCGAAACCGCCGACGCTTCGATAGGCTGGCTAAACAAACAACCAAGAAACGGCATGGTGGTCCCGATGGTTGTCCCGATGGCTGTCCCGATGGCTGGCCCGATGGGTGTCCCCACAAGTTGCCCCGACGGTTGACCCGATGGTTGTCCCGAGCCCGATGGTTGTCCCGATGGTTGGCCCGATGACTGTCTCGAGGGTTGTCACGGCGGTTGTTCCGCTTGTTCTCCCGACGGTTGTCCCGATGGTTGTCCCGAGGGCTGTCCCGATGGTGGTCCCGATGGCTATTCCGATGGTTGTCCCAATGGTTGTCCCGATGAGTATCCTGATGGGTTCCAGCCCAAAGAAACGCTCGGCAAATTCGACGCCTCGACAAGTTGGCTAAAAAACAACCAAGACACGGTATGGTTGTCCCCATGGTTGCCCCGATGGTTGTCCCACTGGTTGGCCCGATGGTTGTCACCACAGGTTGCTCCGACGGTTTGCCCGATGGTTTTCCCGATGGTTGGCCCGATGGTTGTCCCGATGGTTGTCCCGATGGTTGGCCCGATGACTGTCTAGATGGTTGCCACGACGGTTGTTCTGCTGATTCTCCCGACGGTTGTCCCGATGGTTGTCCCGAGGGCTGTCCCGATGGTTGTCCCGATGGTTGTCCCGATGGTTGTCCCAGTGGTTGTCCCAGTGGTTGTCCCGATAATAATCCGGATGGATTCCAGCCAAAAAAAGCGCTTGGCACCTTCGACGCCTCGATCGGTTGGCTAAAGCAACAACCAAGAAACGGTATGGTTGTCCCGATGGTTGTCCCACTGGTTGGCCCGATGGTTGTCCCCACAAGTTGTCCCGATGGTTGGCCCGATGGTTGTCCCACTGGTTGGCCCGATGGCTGTCCCGATGGTTGTCCCGATGGTTGGCCCGATGACTGCCTCGATGATTGTCACGACGGTTGTTCCGCTGGTTCTCCAGACGGTTGGCCCGATGGTTATCCCGATGGCTGTCCCGATGGTGGTCCCGATGGATATCCCGATGGTTGTCCCAGTAGTTGCCCCGATAATTATCCTGATGGGCTCCAGCCCAAAAAAGCGCTCGGCATGGCTGTCCCCATGGTTGTCTAAGAAAACGATAGTCTGGCTAAAATAGTTTGACGCCTCGATAGTTTGGCTAAAAAACAACCAAGACACGGTATG